TTTTGTGTTCTCTATTCTTTAAGCACTGGTTTGAGCACCATTTGAGCACCGGCACCGTTTCAAAAGTGCCGGTTTGGCACCGTTATCGGATAAAACCTAAACGATACCCATCCCCAGTATTCAATGTAGGTAATAAAAATACAAAATCATATTTCTGGGGCTACAGCTGCTGTGAGACAAAGCTCAATAAGCCAATTAAAGATTCATTCTCTGGCCAGCGTCTGTACCAGACACAAAAAAACATACTGTATAAAAACCAATACAATACACACGGATGACATAAGTACAGCAGCATCAATAATATGATGAGTGTGGATGCAAGTGTTACGGCTATATAAACAAAACACAACAAAACCAACCGCGCTCACGCCTGCTTATGAAAACTAAAACAGAATATTTAGACCAAAACCTTTCAAATAACACCCAGCCTACTTCTAACTGGTGTGTCATCTTTTGGAACCCACCACTCAGTTAACAGGGAACAGGGAGAGGGGAAAGCTCACTGTGCTACTTATACAACCACTTCCTCATTAACTCGATGTCATTCATTTTTTCATTTAATTTTGGGTATTAAATTTTAGCATTAACTGTGAAGGGTCCCCATTTCTGCCTGAACTCTGAGGTGGTTAATGAAAATATTCTACCAGTTGGTGTTTGCATGATGATGGTAGAAGTCTAACAGGGCAGTCTTACATGTCCCAAGTTGCTCAGTTAGGTTAGGATGAACTTTGCAGACTTGCTTTTTGTGAAACCAATTCTACATCTTTATGGTTAACGTGGCCGCTGCGGTCAGGATAAAAATGTTTTATATTGTAAAGGTGATAAGTTATTTACAGTGACCATTCCCAGAAACCAATGGACCTAAACAATAGCAGAATAACGATCCACATCTGAACTAAAGATGGTCAGCATAGCAATGAAATGAAATGATGAACTTATGTTCAGCAGTGAAATGTATATAGGTAATGATCCTCACCTCAAGAAGCCTGGTGTAGTAGGTGAAGGTGTCCTCCCCGTCCCTGTGGGTGTCCTCTACCTTGTACCTCCTGCAGGCCAGCAGCAGCTCGTTTGAGCTGTAGAGCGGTGCTGGGTCAATGGAGTGGCTATTGATCAGGCTCACCAAGTACTCCCGGTAATGCTTCCTAGAAACCAGCACACCACCAAAAAATTATTTATATATCAAGTGATATCAATGATCAATGAGTCTTAAATAGGGATTAAAAAAAATATGCCAAAGCCAACCAGAGTTGCTCATTTTGTGTGAATACATATATAAAAATTCCCCTCTCGCCCCCGCGGGCGGACAATCCTTCAAGCTCGGGTCCTCTACCAGAGGCCTGGGAGCCTGAGGGTCCTGCGCAGTATCTTAGCTGTTCCCAGGACTGCGCTCTTCTGGACAGAGATCTCCGATGGTGTTCCCGGGATCTGCTGGAGCCACTTGCCTAGCTTGGGAGTCACCGCACCTAGTGCTCCGATTACCACGGGGACCACTGTTACCTTCACCCTCCACATCCTCTCCAGCTCTTCTCTGAGCCCTTGGTACTTCTCAAACTTCTCGTGTTCCTTCTTCCTGATGTTGCTGTCATTCGGAACCGCTACATCGATCACTACGGCCGTCTTCTTCTGTTTGTCTACCACCATTATGTCCGGTTGGTTAGCCACCACCATTTTGTCCGTCTGTATCTGGAAGTCCCACAGGATCTTAGCTCGGTCATTCTCCACCACCCTTGGGGGCATCTCCCACTTTGACCTCGGGACTTCCAGGTTATACTCGGCACAGATGTTCCTGTACACTATGCCGGCCACTTGGTTGTGGCGTTCCATGTATGCCTTGCCTGCTAGCATCTTGCACCCTGCTGTTATGTGCTGGATTGTCTCTGGGGCATCTTTACACAGCCTGCACCTGGGGTCTTGCCTGGTGTGATAGACCCCAGCCTCTATGGATCTTGTACTCAGAGCTTGTTCTTGTGCTGCCATGATTAGTGCCTCTGTGCTGTCTTTCAGTCCAGCTTTGTCCAGCCACTGGTAGGATTTCTGGATATCAGCCATTTCTTCTATCTGGACATACCATACAAGGGCCTGTACTTCCATGATGGTTACTCTTGTTGCTCCTCTGATGTACTTATTGGTTGTTTCATCCTGGACAGGGATTCTGACACTCACTAGTCCTTGGGCTCCTTCCTTGTGATTAGCATACAGTCTCAGGGTGCGGGACTTGGGGTGAAACCCTCCATGCATGATAAGGGCTTCCTTGTTTTGATGTCAGTGGCTTCTATCTCCTCCTTTGACCAGCATTATCCCAGCAGGGTATATGATGACAGGCAGGGCGTAGGTGTTGACTGCCCAGATCTTGTTCTTCCCATTACGCCGACTCCTCAGGACTCACCCTACTCTCTGCAGGTATTCAGTGGTTGCAGCTTACCTGGTGGCCTCTTCATGGTTCCAATCTGCCTGTGAGATTTCTAGGTACTTGCAGCTGTTCACAGTATCTGCAGTGTTGCCTTCTGGTAGTAAAATCATTGTCCTGATGTCAGTGGCTTCCATCTATCTATTCTTTTTTATTCTTTTTTATTTTTCATTCACTATTAGCATACAGCTTGTTGCCATCCATGTAGAGGAGGTTGCTGACGATTGCCTCATTTCGTAGTCAGTCTCCCTAACATGTTATGTAGAGGAATTCACCAAGGGGGTTCAGGGCTATGCAGAATAGCAGTGAGGACAGGGAATCTCCTTGGTAGATCCCACAATTGATGGTGACCTGCGCAATCGGCTCAAAGTTGGCCTCTAGTGTTGTTTAACACATCCCCAACAAATTCCTGATTCAGGGATTCAGGATTGATGTGTGATGCATTGAGTAACAGGCTTTCTTGTGGTCATTCCAGGCAGTGCAGAGGTTGGTCAGTCGAGTCTTATAGTCTTGGGTGACTGCTCTATCTACCAGGAGCTGGTGTTTTGATGTCATCAAGTGCTTGCTCATTGGGGGTTATGTGATTTTTGGGATTTCTTTTTAACTGTAAGGTCTTTAACTTACAATGTAAACCGCATTGAGGCAAACGATTTAGCACTATAAAAATAAAATGGAACTTAACTGAATCATTTTTATGCATGGTTTAACAAGAGCAGTTCAAGTATTCTGGGACACAGACAGAGGACAAAGAACTGTGAATTACTTTAATTATCAATTCCCTTATTTCTGTTTGTGTTCAAAAAGTTTTTAGCACACGTTTTTTTAAACTACAGTGTTTTGGAGCCGTTTGAAGCAACCAACATGGTTCACACAAGATTAAAGACAAGTGCTCCTTATGGACTGCCAGAGACTCTGGGATCTAAGGAACATATTACAAACAAAGCAAATACTACTCATTAAAAGCTCCATACTCGCAGAGTCCAGCATGTCCAGGTTGGGTCTGAGCTCCACAGGCTGCATCTGACTGCTGCCCGCCCTCATCTTTTTGCTCTATTACTCCACACAGATCTAAAAGGAAGAGAGGTACCCATTTAAAAATATAGAAAAACATCTGTGAAAATCAATACAAAAAATTCCTTAATTGAAAAATTCATTATAATATTCAGAACTCCATTAATTCAGCCAGGTTTCTTCCTGTTAAAAGGGAGTTTTTCCTTCCCACTGTCACCAAGTGCTCGCTCATTTGGAATCATATGATTGTTGGGGTTTTGTTTTCTTTGTATTATTGTAGGGTCTTTACCTTACAATATAAAGTGCCTTGAAACAACAACCGTTGATTTGATTTGGGGCTGTATAAATAAAACTGAATTCAGATGTATTAGTATTAATTTGTATGAACATTTCCTAAGATAGCCAGTCATGGTGTCAAATCAACAACAACGTGTTACATTCTTTAAAAGAATGACTAAGCTAGCCAGGACAGAGTAGAGATTTATTCACTTGCTAAATCCTGTCCTGTCTGCCAGCTTTTTGATCTGAATGCACTGTTGTGGGTTTATCTGTTTATTTCTTCATTTCTATTCATCAAGACATAATAGAGTTACAGTTGTGACATTATAAGTGGTATACTGTATGATATCTAAGGCAGGACAGGCAGGAAAAAAAGGAGGGGGGGGGTTGATAAAAGGATGGAGCATAAATACAAATGTTCGTGAGTGTGAACGAGAGAAAGAGCGAGAGCCCAAAGGCTGTCAGTCCCAGAGGGCCAGAAGTGACCGGCAACCAGCCCTGCTACGGGCCACCCACCCCCGTACAGTCCCAGGGCTCCAGGTGCCTAATAACCGCAGTATAATGAAACAGGTTACATTTTCAAGAACGCAAATATAAAAAGATTACCCTACAGAAAGCATGTCCCAGCGCCTAGAACAGGGGTGGGCAATCCCAGTCCACGAGGGCCGGTGTCCCTGCAGGTTTTAGATGTGTCCATGATCCAACACAGCTGATTTAAATGGCTAAATTAGCTCCTCAACATGTCCTGAAGTTCTCCAGAGGCCTGGTAACGAACTAATCATGTGATTTCATGAAATTTAAAGTCTTAGCTGTCACCTATAGGCCAAAGCGTCCCAGCTGCAAACTTTTTTAAACTGGTAGAAGAAAAAGACATTTGATGAACCACATTTCTCTTTCTGTACAAAGAGGAACAGACAAATGTGGAGTAAGTTTGCCAGAAGTGGAACAAACCCAGTTTCTTTGCAATAAGAAAGGATTTACAGAGCCCACCAAATTCCCTAAAATACAAATGGTAAATGGCCTGTATTTAAAACACTGATTACTTGGATTTGACTTTTTCAAAAACATCTTATTTGCATTTCACCCTTAGTTACTATAACGACCCAAGGGTCCAGCGCACCCTGCCTGGGATAGAGTTACTGGGAGTGGGTTGTGTGTCAGTCACAGGCACTGGTCCTGGCGCTCCGATCCAGGCTTCTGACACTGGTACTGGAATGTCACCTTGCTGGTGGGGACGGAGCCTTAGCTAGTGGGTGAGGTTAGGAACTACTTACTAGATATAGTCGGGCTCACCTCAAAGCATAGCTTGAGCCCTCGAACAAGCTTCCTGGAGAGGGGTTGGACTCTGTTCCCCTCTGGAGAACTCGCTGGAAAGATTACATTATCACAGTCTGCTGTCCCCATGACTCAAACCCAAATAAGTGATTGAAAATGGATGGATGGATGATGTGCATTTTGAGATACTGGTTTAAGTATTATCAAGCATCCCTGGTTCAAATATTCTAATCAAAGGTGGACGTTTGTCATTGGTTGAACACCCTAGAAAAGATACAAGGTTTCAGGCACTCTGTTTAATTCCCAGATGAAAAGCAGAGTTATTTAGATTAAACGTTATGCACTTCTCTACTTGAGTTATAGCACTTACAAGGTTTTCAGAAAACACTGGGATTCAGACGTTTTAGTAGACGCATGGTAGGAATTTTGAAATCTTAGTTGGGCGTCCATGCTGCCTGCTCAGCATCAGCCTTTTACAGCTGAGTAGTTTAAAACACAGAGTTAATCCAGCTACTTCTGTCAGCAGTCACATGGTTTATTTTACGAGTTTCAGTCAGAATTCATTCGAGCAGAGGAAAAGCACTTGTGAAGGTTACAATGATCTGGCCTCTGACAGTGGACTCAACTCTCTGATTCTCCTGTGCCTGCACCTCTTTCACCTCTGCTGTATTTAATCATCAGTAATGACTAAACTTGGGCTCTCTCCCATAGTGTGTCTTTCCCTGTGCTGTTTTCCACTTACTTGTGGGGCCGTTGAGTGTGTCCTCACTAATATGAATGCCATGGAGAAAATATTAGAAAGAGCACAACTCCACAGCATCATCAAAAGTATTGAAACAAAAACTTTGATGGAAGAAACAGCCTACCTGTCTGAGTTCCAGGAGGAGGTTCAGTGTTGAAGGCAACTCCGTTATTCTGTCACGAAGATAAGATATGATGAGACGCAAAACAGGCACTGACCAGATAAACACATGAAAAAGAACGAAGGGTCTTTAGGATGACAGCAAAAACACAGAAGAGACAAAACGAAACGAGTAACGGCTCTAAACACGCTAACATCTCTGTCATGGGCCTGGGTCACATGACCCTGTGTTTTGAGTTTCTTGTGTTTTTATGTCATTTTGTGTTATGGTTTAACCCTTTAAGACCTACCATAGAACCAAGTCCACCAGAGCTTATATTATATTTTTACATGCTGTGGAGCCATTTTTGGGAGCATTTCAAGTTGCTATACATCAATACAACCATTAGAGCCAAAATTCTAATAATATGTCTGCATTAAGTGCATAGTAATTACATTTATTGCAAAAAAGTGCAATAAACTACAAAAAAATTTAAAATCGTTTTTGTTTTTTTTTAACATATATTTCTAGTTAGAGAAATTTAAGAGGCTCATCCCTCAAAACTGTAAATACAAAAAAGTTTCACAAACTAGTTTCCTACCACAGGAAATTTATTTTGAGTGTCTTCATAGTTTTATTTTTGAAATACACCAATTTTTATACACTGCAGGAAAAACGAAAATAAATAATATACTGCAAATTTGCAAAAAAGCAGCATATGCATCAAAATAAACTATTTCCAGCAGTGCAATATGAGTCCTCAGCATCCCAGAAACGACACAGAAAGTCATAAAGTCAAACATAACTTTTAAAAACACCAGTATAGGCTCATGAAGCCCTGATGGTAAAAAACTACATTTCTGCAAAATGACGTCACTTCCGGTTTCGGGCAGGTCATGGCGGACATGTGATAGTTCACACTGATGTCTATTCCAATGTGGGAAGTGTTATGAACAGCTGATCGGATCGGCAAAGCCTGTTTCTGGAATATTATGTTTTTGTTCCTGCAAGCGCTTTTTATGCAGTTTTTGCAAAGATTTATGTGGAAGGAAACCGTGACCGAGGACAAGCTGATGGCATAAGATGTAAGTACAACTACTCCGGTTTCATATGCAAAACTAATTATTGCGCTAGCTTACGTGGTTGCAGAGCTACAAGGATTTAAGAGTAATTACGCAAAACGGAGCGTGCTGCTCCGACCGGCTTTAAAGGGTTAAGGTTCATTTTGTAGTCCTGAGTTTATTCTATGTTAGCTTTTTGCACATTTAGGCTCCCCTTGTGTCTTTGTCCTCTGTGTCCTCTCTGTGTCTGTGTTTATGTGTGTTTGTGTGTCCTTGTCTCTTGTTTCCCTCTTCTCTTCCCATCCTTGTGTGTCATTCCACAGTTACATGTATGTGTGTTTACCTGGAGCAAAGCCTGCAGCCTGGATGGTTCCCAGTCTCTCAGATAGAAGAGACAGTCTCTAGGATGATGGGCGTGCAGTCCAGACACCGTGCACTGGTCCACTGCACAGGTCTGATGGGAAACAAAAGAGAAAACAACAGCCATTTTTATTTTTCCCCTCAGTCTGCTCACGTAACACTGAAATTAATAAAAATTAAAAAACAAAAGGAAACTGTGACCCTTCACTAAACACTAATAGTGTTTTTAAAAGACAGGACATAAAAATGTGCAACTGAACTTCACACGTGTCATCATTTCGTCCACTTTCCCAGATGAAATACACGCAAAACTAAATTGTAATGAATGCATCAATGCTGGTTTCTGTTTACTGGAAAGATGTTGATGAACTTTTGCACCAAACACCAATGAATTGAACAAACACCGCAGCTGCCAACAGCTGTTTTGAATGTCTCATGTGAAACAGCCAAAAACAAGAAAACAAATCTGTGTGCTGCATTCGTGTCATCAGTGAATTTATGTCGGAGAGCCTTTTCCAAAGCTGCTGAGGTCAAAGGTTGCACCTTCAGAACAAGAAATGCTGTGGCCCAGATCAAACATGAGGATCAGTGCCTCGTCTGCAGCGTTATGAAGTGCTTACTTTTGTTTCAGTCACTCAAGATTTCACACAAAACAAATCAAAAACAGTGTTTTAATGATCACATGCTGCTCTCCTTTTTTAGGGATAAAAAATAAATCTAAGAGAAAATTGCCAAAGTTGTACACGTGTTTTCACTTCCCACAGTCTGTGTGAAATAATCAGATGTGGACTGGTTCTTTTTCTACTTCACCTGAGGACTCAAAGTGCTCTATAGAACTGGCCTAATTCACCCACTTACACTCTAATGTGTACATCGGAGAGCAGCGGGGTTAGTACCTTGCAGAAGGGCACTTGCATGCAGACTGTTGCAGCCAGGGACTAAACCACCAGCCTGAGCATTAGTAGATGACTACTCCACACCTCTCTGTCACACATGTATCCTAGGTAGAGTATCACATGGCTCAAATGACTCCTTGGAAAATGACACCATGAAGAGGATGATGTGGTATGTGACAGACTTACAGTGTGGAAAGGGTTGTTGCAGCCACTGCAGAACTGGTAACGACACTGTGAGCAGCAGAAATGCATGCAGCCTCCTTTAGACAGCGCATACTGAAAGCGACAGTTAGGACAAGCTAGAAGGAGGGAGGAAGGAGAGGACACACAGGTAGCATTACATTCAAGAAAACCATTTTAGTCTGACGTACTTTCAACACCTTTCCTGACATAAATGAGTTAACTTTACTTATATATACTTGTTACACAGTTAATGTCATGGATCTCAGCACTCGATGACCTTGCTCTGTAAGTTTATATGGCTGAGCTGCTTTGGCTCCTAAACGCTTTCATTTTGTAATAATAGCACTTAAAGCTGATTGTGGAATATTCAGGAGGGAAGACTTTCACCAGCTGACTTGTTTCAGCAGTGGCATCATGTTACAGCATAACACTCAAATTCAGGGAGCTCTTTAGAATAACACAAAGGCAAACTGCATGTCTAGGTGTCATATACCTGTGGCAACAGACTGAGCACACCTGAATTCAAACAGAGGTGCGGCCCAATACCTTTGTTCATATACTGTAACCTTACTCGGTTACACAGCATGGACAGGAGGATAACAACGCATGCATAAATGTGCATGTTTGTGTACTTACACCACAGACCTGTCTGAAACATACATAGACATCATGAGACATAGTTTGCAGAGCAGCAACACAACACAGAGTGCATTATGGGCTGTTCATAATCATAATGCTAAGACAGAGATATGCTCAGCTCTGTAAGTGTTTGGTTTCAGATTTGTACGTCCCACAGAAAGCTTCTCATGATGGTTTTTTTGGCCATGGATGAAACAAACTTCACGATGAGTGAAAACAAATGAATATCATATGAAACTGCATTTTATTTTTTCAATACAACATCCTATGACATCACAATGATGCGCCACCGTGACAGGCTCATGTCATCATATAGTAGTTATGATGCTTTAATGATAAAACGTTAAAGTTTGCTCTTGTTTTCCACTTTTATCAGAAAAATTACTGGCAGAAGCCAGGACTAAACACTGAAGTTCACACATGGCATCAATTTGAAAGACTTGAGCTGAGTGTGGTAGCAGGGTTTCGTTTGTGGCTGCACTGCAGCCAGCCCGGAAACACAAAAGATACAGCAAAAGAAGTGTTTGTGACCACCCCTGTGTTGTGTTGTGTTAACCAGCAGCACAAAGCTTGCCATAGTGGCGCTATCAACTACATGATGAGAGATGTTGGACCCACAGCATGTGCAGCCAGTCCAGGCATCGCTGTGAGGTGTGTCAAAGCTACGTAGAGCCATGGCAGTGACTGAGGGCAGAGTCAGGGCTGCGGGTCTCTCCCCTGCCCTCTGGGGAGGCCCAGACAGCAATGCTGAGCCTGCTGTTGCCCTCGTGGGGAGAGTTTGGGAACATCTGCTCCACAAGATCACCGTCGCCGGTTCAAGGGCTGTCAGATGGAGGCAAAGGATCACACGTTTGCCTACGCTTGGAGGCTCCGTGTCATGGCAGCCAGGTAGCTGCAGTCAAACCCTGGGAAGGAGGAAAAGGTGGCTGCTGGAGTTTGTCGTCAAGTACCAACTCATTGAGAAGACAGCAGAATGGGTCCTCGGCCATCGGCCAGGGAGCCTTGATGCAGCAGTGACTTTGGTGGACAACCAACTACTACGGTGGATGGAGGACCCTGGGTGGATACAGTCGTCGGTGGGGAATCTGCCTGTGCCGGCCCCGAGGAGAAGAATCCTCGGCTCTCCTCCAGCACCACCGACTGTTGCGCCCCACAGAAACTCCCTACTGACCTGTTCTCCTCTGCTTCCCCTCTGCAGGTCCTGGGAGCTACAGGCACTGGACCCATCTCACAGGAAGTCACACAGACGACAGGGCAGGAGTGCTGGTGCGGGCATCCACACGGAGTGCCCACTGATGGAGGTGGGACAGGTTTTCCGTGTCACTGGCCTCCCAGCACCTTCCCCTGGCCTGGGAGTGACGTACAACGTTCCAGTAAGGCACCAAAGGGCTGTACACCAGGCTATGGTGGACTCAGGCTGCATGCAGACCTTGGTCTACCAAACTCTGGTTTGACTCTGGGCGTTGTTGGAGAAAGAGTGGGTTTAGATCCCGTGTGTGCAACCATAGTGCCCGTTGAAATTAGGTACAAGGGCAAAAAGCATGGAGTCAAACCTGCTGTTAGCTCATGCCTGAATCTTGGGAGGTGGGGGCTATGATTTCTGGCTTAGTTCAGTGGGTTCAGGGGTGGGAGGCTGGGTAATGTAGCTCCCATCCATCCATCCATTTTACACACCAAAGTGTTCCCAGGCCACCCAAGAGATATAATCTCTCCATTGTGTCCTGAGTTTGCCCTGGGGCCCCACTGAGACATGCCACGAGGAGTCATCCTTGTCAGATGCCACTACCACCTCGACTGCCTCAGCTCTGGCCAGTTGGTTAATTATGCCTCCCCTTTCCTTAAGATATGTAGTATGCAGTGGTCCCAGCATACTACATATCTTAACTAGGGGTGCAACGATACACAAACTTCACGGTTCGGTTCGGTTCGATACTTTGGTGTCATGGTTCGATATTTTTTTCAATACAAAAAAAAAATGTTCATGCCTTTTTAATTTGTAATTTATTAAAATTATAAATATATATTTTAACACAAAAGTACAGTTTTTAAATTTAATGTTGCTGAAACAACAAAATATTTAAAAAAATAAATCTGATTGAGGAATCACTCATCTTTGGAAAAGAGAGTTTATTACAGAGAAATGGCTCTTTCCAAAATAAAAGCTACACTATACGCTTCTTCTGGGCTATATTCTCAGCAGCATATGGAGAATCATGTGCTAACGGCTGTCTAAATGACTCGGGTAAAGTTAGTAGCATGCTTGTTGTTTTTGTCTTTGCACGAGGATGATGTCGGTGTAAATGTGCAGTCATATTCGTTGTGTTCCCACTAGTGCTGTCAGCGTTAATCTGAAATGACGTTAACGCCACAACACGGCAAATCTCCGTTAAAGAGTTACCGCGGATCGCCCCGTGCGTGGGGCTGGACGGCCAACACGTTAACGAGCTAACTGCGCTAACACACTAGTTCCCACCCATGTAATTAAGCATTGCATGGCACATCCAACATACTGTTTTACTTTTGACCTTCAGGGTCATGCTTCACATGAAGACCAAATTAGTTCCAAATGCCAGATCTGAATGAGGGTGGGGGAGGTTCAGTTTGCCATGTTGCTACGAGCTTAGCTTCTGTCTTGCTAGCTTGCGCTGTGCTCAGTGGATCTGCGCTCGACAGTGCAGCCTAGGCGGAGTAGTCGAACGCAGATCCACTGAGCGCTCAACACAGACAGCATCGTCAGAAGAAAAGTTGATAAAATAAATTAAACATTTTGTATTGTTCGATACATATGCGTACCAAACCGAAAGCCTTGTATGAACGGTTCAATATCGATACGAGTATCGTTGCACCCCTAATCTTGACCTCTTAAGTACCAACACCCCCAGATACGGGGGCAAAAGCGAGGAGATCGCATTTAGGGTTAGGCATGTATGCTTAAGAGGTTAAGGACAGTCCAGTCAGAGGACTGGAAGTGACAGCTGAAATAACTGGAAACACAAACGCAACAAGCTGACCGCCCCCGTGTTGTGTCGTGTCAGGTGAACCAGCAGCAAATTTTTAGAAAACTTGACCTCTGCCCTTAACCTTAAGGTTGAGGTAACCAGGATTGTCTTGCCTCATTTTCAAGTTATCACATTCACAAACTTGGCTGCCCATGCATCACAGGACTTTAGTGAAGAGGACTCCATGGGTTACGTTTACACAACTAATCAGAGTTTGTGTGTGTTCATATGTGTGTACTTACTGATGCCGTTGTCTCTGAGGTATCCAGCCAGGCCCTGTCTCTGATATTCTGGATCATTCTCTCTTTTCCAGGACTGGAACTGTTCACAGGACAGACCAGCATGCTGAGACTCCCACTGCACACAAACAATGTTTACCAATGAGTACAGAACAGAGCATATAAAAATGAATTACTATTGTAACAGTTACATAGAAAGATATTTATAATCACACAATATTTCATTTTCTTTTAAATTAGAAACATTTATAATATTTATAAAGGCTTGGATTGCACACAAGCACAAGTCTACGAGGACTACTTCACAAAATAAAATATTAGCCCAGGGGTGTCAAACTTATGAGCCCCATCTAGCCCATAATATAATTATATATACATCCCACCACGTGTCACTTATTAACAGCCTGGAGGCAGGGGTGAGACTTTATTTTGATGGGCACACCGTGCTGCCCATTACATTCCTAGACAGACTGGGATCATACCATTAGGTGAAAGAAGGAAAGGGGGGAGTAAGTATAGTGGTACAGCCAGGGTCTTTGAATCAGACGTCGTGCATGAGATCACTCTGCAGCTTGTTGTCTCAGTAAATGATTTCAAATTCTCAGATGAGTCCACATTTCCATCTTTCACTCGCTGCTGCCACATCTCAAGTTTTCTGACAAGTGATGTGAGTTTATCTGCCAGATGTGGGAGCTGAGCGTTTGTGCCCTGCATCTGCACATTCAGTTCATTGAGTTTCAGGAACATGTCACTGAGGTATGCCCGTTTCATGAAAACGTTGTTACAGTTAAATCTGTTGGTAAGATCACTGCCCTCTTCATTCAAAAACATGCAGACCTCCTCTCGAAGTTCAAAGAGCGTGGACGGCACCGTCCCACGTAACAGCAGGTGGAACTCACTGTGATGCAGAGCTGTGGCCGGAGCCCGCTTCTTCACACAGTGAGGAGAAAATCCAGGCTTTCACAGGTCGTGTTTTGATGCAGTTGACTGTGGCGACGACATCACTCATTATGTCATTCAGCTCAGGACTCAGCTGTTTAGACACTAGTGCTTCGCGGTGTATCTTACAGTGCGTCCGCTGCACATTGGGGGAGACGTGTTCGATTAACACTTGCAGCCCTCCTGGCTTCCCAGCCACAGCCGTCTGTGCAGATCTCCACACAGTCCTCGATGTTTTTGAACAGTTTCTCTGCGCTGGCTCTGGCAGGAACTTGTTTGCAGAAAAGCAATTCCTCCCTCAGCATCTTCATCAATGAATCTGACATACGTTATCAGCAAACAGTATTAATTCCTCCGCAACTGTGTGCGGTTTTTCACACACTGCCACTCGGTAGGCAACTTTATAGGAGCTGAGCTGAGCATTGCCAGCACAGATGCAGCTTCAGTAAAGAGACACTGTTGAGCAGTTTTTGTCTGAAAAGGTCAGCTGACTTGTCTTTGTGCTCTGGATGTTTTGTCTCCAAGTGGCATCTTAGCTTGTTAGGCTTTAAACTGTCACAAGCTTGCACTTTAAGACAGACAACACACTGCTGCCTCTCCTCATCACCCACCGCTGTGCAGGTGAAGCCAAAGGCGAGATATGCTTTATCATATTTTATAGTCTTTGGCTTGGAAGCAAATTTGATGATGCTTCATCCCCGTCAAAACCCGTCCATTATGCTAGCAAGGCCCAAGCATTCTTTTTTCTTTCTTTATTCATACCAGCCCCCCCCCCCCATCGCACACTGTTATTATGTTTTCCCCACTGTGAGGAGGAAATGTAATGATTCCTTCAGTTTCGTATTTTTGGACTATTTAGGACATAACTTTAATGTTAAGGTTCTTAAAAGAGTTGTGAAGAGCAGATGTGCTTGGAATGTCATATTTTTATGGCTTAACAAATGGATAAGACTGCAGCTCTGCAGAAAAAGTGAAACCAAACATAAAGTGGTAAGAAAACAAGAATACACAAAGAGAAACTTACAGGCTTTTTACAGTGAGCACAGAAACTGTTTCGACATTGAAAACAGGTGACCTTCAACTGGTCTCCATCATAGATGAATCCATATGAGCACTGAGGAGAACAAACACGAGAAGGGAAAGGAGAGGACAAGATAGAAATTTCATTGTACAATAACACTATAACGCAATCATAGTCCATGAAAATGACTTCTTGTATTCGGTCGAGTTGTTTAAGTAAAAAGGTGTTTTTAATTAAATCATTTCAATGGATCTTGAAAGCTCCATGACACAGAGTGCACAGACTCTCATGTAGTTACCAAGCACTGCAAGCAAGAGCACGGGGTAAGATTAATTCATTCATTACAGCCTTTTCAAAATAAATTGCTGAACTAATAACTGGCAATGAGTCAGTCATATTGTTGTGGAAGAATTTCGTTCCACTCTTTGCAGAATTGTTTTAATTCAGCCACATTGGGGTGTGTGAGCATTTTTAAAGGTTATGCCAAATAGGAACATTTTTCTTCATTTGTAGATATTGACCCTGTGCACGAGAAAATGCTAACTTCCTGGTTTGAGACCGGATGTGGGGTTGTACATTTCTGGTAGCTTTACTTTTGCGGTCAATCGCTACTGCGAAGATATCCTCCAAAATCATGTCCAAAACTCGAAAACGGAAAGATCGTGTTAAGTTACAAAGAGCAGAAGGTGGGAACACTCACCGCTGTTGTGTCATAAAAAAAATCTAATGATCAGTTTTGACGTTTAAAGCGTTTAGATCGATCAGTTGTTTACATCACTCAACACAAGCAGAACTGCATCACTGCAGCAGAAGACACATCGTCCACATTCAGAAGCACATCTCTGTATAATGACTGGTCTTATGATTTAAACAGGCAAATGTTCAGCATTCAAACTACAGGTGAAGAACAGTCAAACCAGATGTTTCCCGTTATGTCGAGATCAGCTAGTCAAGTACACACCTACACAGCATGTTAACAAACCATGAAAAAAGCCACACAAAAAATGAATGATTGTAACGGTTTCTATACATTAGTATGTACGAAGGGTATGTTGTGACTTACCTTCAAAATTACAGCGGTCCCTCGCTATAACACAGTTCACCTTTCACCTGCTGTTTCGCGGATTTTTTAGTGCAAGTTTGCATGCTTTTTTTTACGTCACATTGTGTCCTGCGTCCTGATCACTGCAGACGATCTCCTCCGTCTCTCCTGTACAGTACAGAATCGCTGCATCCATCGCTAGCAGTGTGACTCCGAAGTGCAGTGCTGTATGTCCACGAAACGTTTTGCACCGTCAAAAAATAAAATCGGCTACTTGATTTCACCTATCCTGGTTATTTTTAGAACATAACACCGGCGATAAACGAGGGACAGCTGAGAAATATAACATTTGAATCCCTTTTCTCTTTTGCTCTGAGGCGCGGGGAAAAATATCAACAAGTCGATGAACATCATTTACAGATATATTGGGTAAATGCCCGAGACATCTATAAAAATGTAAATCGCCGCTTGATTCATTCATTTGCTTAACTTGTTTTGGACCGTAAACCAGGCGCGAATAGGACACCGGAAACAAAGCTCCCCACAGGAGTTTCCGCACCGGAAGTAGCATATGCTAACGTGCACATAGGCTATTGGCTCTCATTATGGTTTACTGGAGTCCCAGTGCCTCTGAAATGGTTCTGTACCCTGTTCCAGACTGACAGACGTCAGTGACTTTGTTTCTCACCTGCTTTCCTTCTCATTTTTAACCCTGTCATGTCTAGTACAGCAGTGAAATTGGGGAAGAGGTAAATATTTTCCCAGCACTGGAGTTACATATAGAACCTTCTCCCTGTGAGCCATTGTGATGGGAGTGTTGGGGTCTGTTTTGCATCTGTGTCACGGACTCTGAAGTTAGTGTTCATCCTCCAGCTTCAATGTGTTTATGTCATGCTAACATAGCTGTGTCGCTAGTGATCACGTAGCACATCATCATGTACCAGCTAGCCAAACTTCAGTAACCCTACAAACGTCACTGCTGTTTAGTTTAATGTCTTCATTTATGTTGGAAGTGATAGCAGAGCTGTATGTTTGAATTTGTTTCTGAACTCCCGCAGTCAGGACATGCTATATTGTATTTAGATGGAAGCTAGCGAGCTAACTTCCTGCTAACTTCTAACTCTGTGAAATGTCATAAATTCCGTTTTCATGGATGCCTGGATGTTAAACTGTTACACCTGGTAGAGCAGAACGCTGATCATTTTATTACAGATGTAAGAATTTAGACAATTTTTCAACTCTCAGTGATGCCGCAGTGATCGTTTGACCTATGAACCTGCAGCAGAGTTTGGGCCCAGGCACGGCTAATGACGTCAGACTTAAAGACTATAGCTTCCATCTGGGAAAAGTGAGCTCTTCACTGGTCACCAATTCAATTTCAAAGTTTGCAAAACTACTTACTGCACTATTGTTTCATATAAAGAAAATTGAATCTTTAACACATGTGAAGCATCAATAATCCAAAAACGTGTACTCAAACTTGCATCACTTTTAAATAGAAATTAAGTAATTACATTAAGTAATTTGTTCATTGAGATTTTGTTGTAAATATTGATCCTGTACTCACGTGACAGCACCAGAGAAATTTGGGGTCCTTGATTAAAGCCTGCTCTGTCAGCTTCTTGTGAAAAAGCTCGTAGACTTCTGGCTCTAGACACTCTCGCAGCTGTGAAGACCAAGTTTTAGAACGTTAACTTCACAGAATGTACATGTAAAGACTGATTTACCTGTCACGACTAGTCCTGTTCTTCCTGTAAAAACATTTGTACAGAGTAGAAGATCTCTGGAAGATCTTCACCAAGTATGGTGTCGGTCACTCTTTCCCAGGTTTTACTCATATTGCAAACAATGCGTTGTATGTTTGTCACTCTTAAATATGAACACCTTTAAAATAACACAAGTAAAGACAAAATGCCGTTTCTAAGTGACGTGTTTCTTATTAAGAGGAAAAAAATCCAGACATACGGCGGTGGGTGAAAAAACTCTTGCCCCGTAATAACTGGTTGAGGCAAAAACTGCAATCAGGAGTTTCAAATAACTTGTTAGGATGCCTGGGTCGTTGTCCCAGGGTTTTTGAGTTTATTATATTATTTATTATTTCTAGTCTTGCTTTCTGTGAGTTCTGTCTTATGGCTTATGTCTGTCTTCTCTAGTTGCTCTGTCTCCCCTGTCAGCTGTATCCCCTTGTCTAGTTGGCGTCTCTGTGTATCCTTAGTTGCTATATCCCCGTGTCCAGTCAGTGTCTGTGTCTGCCCTGGTCCCACGTCTCTGTTCCCTCTGTTGCAGTGCGTGCGAGTCTGTGTCTTTAGTTCAGTCTGTGTCATGTTTCCTGTTTTATTTTGAAGGTCCTTGTCTGAGGTTAATGTATCTGGTTTCGCTTCCCCTGGTCTCGTTAGGCCTGATTTGCCCCAGCTGTGTTTCCCTCCTGTTACCCATTCCCTGATTGCTCCCTCTGTGTATTTAAGCCCTGTGTTTCTCTGTGTCTGTGTCGCGATCTACCGTTTATTTTGCTGTGTGTTCTGTCAGTCCTCTGGTTTAAGTTTAGTTTGATTTCCCCCCCGTTATGTTATATTTTGAGTTTTACATTAAAGCTGTTTTGAGTTCACGACTGTCTCCGGAGTCTGCACCTTGGGTCCTATTCCTGTCTGCACACAGCCACACATAACATAACTGGCATGAGTCGTTAACAGCGCTGTGGAGGAATTTCGGCCCACTTGTCTTTGCAAAATTGTTGTAATTCAGCCAAACTGGAAGGTTTTTGAGAATGAACCTTTTTAAGGTCGTGCCATGGCATTGCAATCGTGTTCAGATCAGAACAGTGACTCCAAAGTCTTCATTTTGTTTTTCTTCAGCGACTCTGAGGTGGACTTGCTGGTGTGTTTCGGATCATTGTCCTGCTGCAGAACAGAAGTGCACTTCAGCTTGAGGTGATGAACAGATGGCTGGACATTTTCCTCCAGGATGTTTTGGTAGACAGCAGAGTTCATGGTTCCATTTACCACAACAAGTCTTCAGGTCCTGAGGCAGCCCCAGACCATCACACTACCACCACCATATTTTACTGTTGGTGTAATGTTCCTTTTCTGAAATGCTGTGCTACTTTCACTCCAGATGAAATGGCACATCACACTTTCCAAAAAGTTAAAGTTTTGTCTTGTCAGTCCGGAGAATATTCATCAATCATCAAGATGTTTTCTGGCAAAACTGAGACGAGCCTTTATGTTCCTATTGAGTCAGTCCTGGTGTAACTTTGGTCAGCCGGCCACTCCTGGAAAGGTTCACCACTGTTCCATGTTTTCACCATTTCTATGTTTTTATACTTATTTTTTATACAAGAGATATCAATTACTTATGTTCTCATTTGTTCCTGAATTTCCTTGGATCACAGCAGGATGTCTGGTCCTGTTTAAGTCTTATTTAAGAGATTTCTTAAAGTGCTTTTAATTTTTAATCACTTTTTCCACACAGGGCCACAATAATAATAATAATTATTATTATCATAACAATAATACTAACACCCTCATTTTGTGTTTACTTGTGTCATCTTTGTCTAATATTTAAAATATATAAAATTTGTATGATGATCTGAAATATTTCAGTGTGACAAACATACAAAAAATAGGACCTCAGGAATGAGGCAAACACCTTCTCACACCACTGTGAATAAAAACTGGTGCTGACAGTCACAATCACAGGTATTAATATAATATTAATACTTCATTTCACCCTTTATCTCCAGTAATAGAAATATAAAGATTCCAGACCTCAACACTGATTGTAACGCACTAACTCTAACACAGGTGTTCCACAGACTGACCTGGACATGCACTGCATTAGGACATAATGATATGACCAAAATGAAAGTGATTACTACCCCTCTCTTACAATATTACTCTCATGAATGTAAAAAAAATTGGAATAAAAATTAAAGTTCTGTATAATTAGTAAGCCTAGAAAAACAATATTGCAATAACTAAAGATACATGTCGTGTACATGTTCAGGTTTTTGATATTTTATGGGCAGAACTATAATCGATGACATAAATAATAATCTGAGAAAGGAATGAAAATATGTTTTACTGTTAAACAGGAGAAAAAACATAATCAGTCCCTCCAAAACTTGCAGGAAACAGCATTTTGAAACTCCTGCTCAGCAGCCTGTAATTCATTTTCAACCCAAACTGCAAAGTTAGATGTTGTTTGTCAACTGAATTTTCTGGCAACCAAACGTTTGTGTACAAGAATGTTGGTACATTAATCTCTTGTATATTTTGTACATTGTCCAAAATGTTGGATTGGAAATAAACTCAAAGAAGTAGAGACACTAAATCGTACCCTGCTCAGCTAACAGCTAACAGAATGAAGCCAATGTTCTGCTCATTAATATAACATCAAGACATTTAATCCATTTTAGAAAAGCTCTGCAGAGAAACAACAACTGAGCAAAGAAAAAACAAAAAAATGCAGTTCATTGTTTTACTGAACTGTAAGTGATGGCAGGCTTTATAGTTGTGGTTGACAAGATGACAATGTAGCAGTCAGAGAGGAGAGACATTCTCATTCCTTTCCCGGTTTATTTGCTTCCTACCTGGATGTCCAGGGTGGAGAAGTAGCTGTTGAGGTGTTCGGGGTCATTGATGTCAGGCTCCCAACAGACTGGACACACCATGTCTCTGATGTGTTTGTCCCTTACAGCGATGGTAAAGTGCTGCTGAAAACAACCACAGCACACAGAGCACTGACACGACGTGAGAGACTGCATCTGAGAAGGGGAGGTGGGAGGAAGTAGAAAATCAAGAAATGGAAATCATTCAGAAAATTATTTAGTGACTCAAAAGCATCTGTAAAGTAACCCTAACTTTGCTGTGAGGGAAAACCGAGAGGCAGATGGGACATTCTTTAGCGAGCACTCGCTTGATAAATTCCCTGTCGTGGGACTCTTGCACTGCCTGCACCACATCTTCTAGGGAATAGGGGGCGCTGTGCTCCAGAAGAAGCGACAGTGCCAGCTCACAGCGACCCCAGCTGGGTAGATCGTAGACTGCTAGAAGCCACCGACATACACGCTGAAAAAACAATAAAATCATGTTAAAATAGACTTCACATTTTCTACCAGTAATGCCAAACATGGGGTCTTTGTAAAGTACTGTGTAACAGTTGCAAGTCACTCCTCATTTCTGTATATTTTGCTGGGAAAGTGAGCACAGCAACGTGTCCAAACAGTTTAGAAAACTGGTAGCTGACCAGCTTTTTTTTCTCAACACAGCCTGAAGGCTTCTCTTCACTGGCTTCCTGTTAAATCTGGAGTCTTAAATAACTAATCCCCAAAAGTGGATTTTATTCATCTGGACGTAGCGTTTTCAGTGGGAGAAATAATTTGTTACTCATCCAAATGACTTCTTCAGTCTCAGCTGACTGATCCAGCTAAATCCAGTGGAGTGGTTTGGTTTAAACTAGATTAAAGCCAACAATGGTCTTAAAAAATTCTATATTTTA